TATGGAGAAATCAATGTTAACCAACATTTATCAATAAAAATCTAATCCATCCACTCCTCAACAAAAGCAAATAATATTTTAGCAGGATTTGTAATTGTTTAAGCACTACACCAGAAAGACCACACATTTCTAACATGAAACCACATTCCTTGACAATCTGTGTAATGAATACTTTGTAGTGCCCAAATTATATTGATTCCAATGTCAAGTGTCAAAATGGTCTACTACCAAACTAAAGGAATAACCCACCTTTTAAGTAGAAATTTTGCATCATAAGCATACACAATACTCCTCAATGGAAGAATTGTACCAAATAGATTCCTGTACTAAAGCCGTTACAGTTTAACAGCAAAGCTAGGTGGTGTAATGTGACATTATTGACATGAACTGTGACCGTATAGATCATTGTTGCAACCAAGATCCTATAGTTGCACCAAATCTTGTACAAAGGAGGTCTAGTAAGGTGTCTATAGAAAGACTGTAATTTGCTGGTTATGATTATGCTGTCTGTATGTGTGTATCATTTTTGTATTTGAAGTTATGAATATTGGCTATGTATTTGTATCTCAATGTGTTTGATTCTAAGTAGTCTCAGTGAAGCATTTGGTCAGCTTCTTGAGAATGGGCACTTACTGAGAATAGTCCTATCAAGAAACACTTAACTGACCATGGACTTTGGGAGATGCCAATCCACATCTGAGCTTTCCTGGGAACGTTCAAACTAACATGTAAACAATGGCATCGGCCTGCAAAAAGCTAAATCATTCATGGACATGTGACTTGACCAGGTGGCTACAAACTCCATCTTGTTGCTGTGATTTTGCACAAAAGAACAAAGGGGTTTCCACCCAGAAGAGAGAGAATATAAAAGGCCCTGGAAGCCTCTCCATTTTGTCTTCAGCTGGTTCAAGAGATGGCCTCTCCACCCCAAAGAAATGCCTGAAAGAAACTGGACTGTAACTACGGGGGTGTGAGTGATTGCTGGACCAGGCCATAAATCACAATGTTGGTCTGAAAAGGATTGGGCCCAGACTAGGAAGGAGTCTACTCTGTGAAAGAAGCTTATGGGGACATCTCTGAGGATGAGATTTACCCGTATTCAGTTTCCTAATGTATTAGGTTTAGACTTGCCTGTTTTGTTTTATTTTGCTTGGTAACTTACTTTGTTCTGTCTGTTATTACTTGGAACGACTTAAATCCTACATTTAATAAAATCACTTTTGCTTATTATTGAACCCAGAGTTAGTAACTAATACCTGAGGGAGCAAACAGGTGTGCATATCTCTCTATCAGTGTTATAG